TCGAGTTTAGGCTCGTTTATGTCACAAAACAAATGTTATAGGCTTCAGAAATTGAAATGTATCGAACTATCCAGTCATGGGTAGCTATCTTCGCGTATATATATACACATATATATACCCAAGGGTTGTTAAAGGCAAACCTTATTTTATTATTAAGAGATAATAACACCAGGCGTATATATATATATATATATATACATACCCGGTGTTTTTGCGAAGACTTTCAAAAATCCTAAAAATTAGGGCGATTGAAAAAAGAAGAAACTCTCTTCGGGAACAAACTACCAGCCACGGCGGACGTCAGGAATTGTCAAAAACCTACTAATTAGCCAGATAATTAATTAAAACTTGTTAATTAACTTTTTAATTAGTGGAAATAGACATATGATTCCAATTAGAAAGTTGCTGAGCGTTATCGAAAACCACTAAATCAGTCATTTTCAGAAAGACTTTGAGCGCGTGAGACGAGTAGTAGCGCACTAAAATTACCACTCGCGGAGCAGGTACAAAGCTAGCGGTTGCGGTAAGGCGCCCGCGCGATTTTTCCGCCTCTTATCTAGCCCCAGCCTTGTACCTGCTCCACGAGTGGTAATTTTAGTGCGCTACTACTCTTCTCAAGCGCTTAAAGTCTTTCTGAAAATGACTGATTTAGTGGTTTTCGATAACGCTCAGCAACTTTCTGATTGGAATCATATGTCTATTTCCACTAATTAAAAAGCTGATTAACCCGTTTTAATTAATTATCTGACTAATTAGTAGGTTTTTGGCAAATCCTGACGCCCGCCGTGGCTGGTAGTTTGTTCCCGAAGAGAGTTTGTTCTTTTTTCAATCGCCCTAATTTTTAGGATTTTTGAAAGTCTTCGCAAAAACACCCGGTATATATATATATATATATATATATATATATATATATATATATATATATATATATATATATATATATATATATAAACGCCTCAATAATTTCGAAGCAAATGATGTTTTCCATTTTTTTAAGATGTTCAGAAGTTGCGCTGATGATGATAAAAAAAAACAAGCATGAGTATAGTAGAGTTCTGCTATTTTGGTTCTCGCATCATCAGGCAGGCAAGTTTTCAGTGACGGTGCTAAGTGTTTATTTGTTAAAATGTCACACGGCAGGTTAAAACTGTAGTTCTTTAATAGCCCTTAAACCCTGCGTGCCTTTTGTCTATAGACAGAGGGTAAAACAGACATCACGCATTAACTGCTATCGAAGTCAATTCTCAAAAAGTGTAAAGCTAAACTTACTGCACAACAAGGTGCCTAATTCACGATCAATACCTGAAGCGCTTCTTATGCGAAGTTTATAAAACCAAAATGACTAAGCATTAGTTGTGAGTACAAACCTCCAGCTTTCAAATTCGAGTGGAAGGATAGCACCAGCGGGTCTCGAAAGCGGTCAGACCTCAAGAGATCGCTGAACGCTCTAGATGTTCATAATTCCGCTTGCAGCCGCGCAGACTTCCGCCTGGCCCAATGAGAGCCGAAGGTTCAGTCACTAACGAAGCGACGCGGCTTGCTCAGCTCGAATATGAACGAGGGTAAGCGACCTAAAAAGTAATGCCTCCTAATTACTTCGTTTGGCGGTCTCCAGAGCTGCTATATTCACCAAAAAGTTTCTCCACCAAACGCCCAAGGAGCGCCTTTTTAACCTTCTTTTCTTTGCGGGTTTCACAGTAGATGCACTCCTCTAACTGATACTTAGGGGTGTGAAGGAGTGTGTACAGCTGATGGAAGGGGTCGATCATCACTTCGTTGAGTTTAATGTTGAACTGTTTTGAGTAAACCATGCAGCACCCCACAGTTATGCCTAAAATAGAAAAGCATAAGCAGCGTTAAGAAAAGAGTCACAAAACCGAATGCGCGATCATAATAGTGCACGCCCTAGGTTTATTAAGGTGTCAGAGACTATAAGTACCATGCAACATTAACATGAGCACTTCTTTACGAGTAAATTCATGTAAAACTTTCTAATGTTAAGAGTTTCGATGCTTGCGTTATGAATCGATGATGTGTGTTACCTGATAACCTGCCCTTTTCTAAGCGAATTAACTAATATAAATATGCTTCGTAAAGGGAAATTTTATATCACTTATATAAATCACTAATGTTATTTACATATCTCAAATACGCGAGGCAGGAATGTATAGTTCATCCGTGATTCAGTGCGCCTTCCTCTACACAATGGGTCGTCTCAAAATATGTCCCTGAACTTTATCAGAAATTCACGAGAATGTTGCAAATCGGAATTAAAGAACGCTCTTCGAAGTTTACCACGGTCCGGATTAAGGTTTGATTGCGTCTATCTCGATTTTATTTTTATTTGAGGAAGCCTCGATATTCAATGACAGGTTGGAAGTCCGTGACAAGCTACCGGACTTTCCGCTGTAGCTGAACGAATGCTGGAGAGGAGGAGAGGAAGACTCACTTCCTTTCCAGCGTTCGCTCTGCTAACGTGAAAGGAGAGGTGGGCTTTGCGGCATGAGTTTGTCCTGCACTCTTAACTAGCAGCAGACTGTAGTTTAGCTCACTCAGTGGTACATTTGTTTTTTAATAATTGCCACCATATTTTACAGTGAAGGCGAACGATTTTTATTCTTGTTCGAAAGACGTAAAGAGAGCGACCTCCTTAGACTGAACACCTGGCCTTATATTTGTCCTGTTTTTCTCGCATGATGAAAACGCTTACACCTAACTTTTCAGTCATAAAATGGTCGAATGTGCGGTACCTATCTGGTCATCTTTTTTTTTCTTTTGCACAATGCCTGTATAAGCAAGTTACGAGAAAGCGCCGAAGTCGTCAAGATAAAATCAAGCCGCATTATTGAATCACTATACTCCATTTCAACTTACGTCCAATGGCTACCAACGCTCGAGGCAGTGGAATCATTCAAGTTCCTCGAAAATAACTAGACCATGGCCATTTGTTTTGTCTTTTTACGCGGGTGTCATCACCAACTGATCCAATCAAGCGCGAAGATCCGTTGTTAGACCGCGTTATTGGCCTGCGTATTTCTGTTTCTGTTGCCACTAACTTTTGACACCGGTCGGACTCAATATATAACTTAATATATGGTGAGGCGTAAGAACGCGGGACAGAACGTGGCAGAAATGAACAAACAAATAAACGAGCAATACAACAGGTGGATGTTTAAATTTCAATCAAATTGATACTCTGAAGAAAATAGCGTTCGCTTGTCCACCAAAGGCCGTGAGTTGAATGACCGCACCGCTCGTGCATTGAGTTTGTTCGTAACGAAGCATCTAAAACTACCTGGTGATTGAAGAGGCTCGTCACACTAAGCCACTACGCAGAAAATTAGACGGGTGGGTCAAGGCGCTGACATTTTCGTCAGTCTCCGGCGCATCGGTTCGTGGGGACGGGGGTGCCTGGGGGGCTGGAGAGATCGCCTCACTTTTCGGGCCCGTTCAACCTGTCTTCTCGAGCGAACGTACGCAGCTTTCTCGCCGCGGACACACCGAAGCGACCCCAATATCAACGTCGCTTTGACGCAGACCTGCCTGGTGGACCGCGTATCCGAGCGTTCCCCCAAAAGCCCACTTCGCCAGACGCCTCTTCGCGCTAGCGTCACAGGACAAGCCTTTGGGCGGGAACGCCGCCAGTTCTCAACTGTCAAAGCAAATACAGATGATGAACGCCAGCGCTCGGGCCGACCATATTGGAGCGCCGCAGCTTGAGGTTAACGCGTAACGCACAAAAATAAGCAAAAACAAAAACAAAAAGAGACAGACGTTACGCCTGTTTATGGACGACGCACTGCGGAATCGCGGCGTTTCTTGCGGGCCCTCCAAGTCGCTGAGAAGGTGAGTCAGTCAGCAGAGAAGTATAAAAATGAGTCGTGAAACCCGTCCGCGTCTAAGGCACCGAGCCGTGAGTTGCCGGCGAACACGACGATGAAAACAAGTGGGCTGGTTTCAGCGACGTCCACAGTCAGACATCTGCACAACCTCATGCATTTAACTTTTTTTTTTTCAGCTTCTACCTAAGTTTGTTTTGGTATCTTCTCACTGCAAATAAGAACGACCCTTTCGTTTCCGCGAAGTGGCGGTACGCTACGACTGTCTCGGCGAGGTCTCAGTCGAAACTGCGAGCGGGGATTATACTAAAGAAGGCGTGAAAAAAGATGGGAGATTAGATTGCACTGCTTGACTGAACTGACCGAGTTTTACCGCTGTGCCACATTGAATGTTGTATGTTACTCCGAAACTAGCAAGCCTTATAAAAAAAACCAGTAAATCTCTCCAAAAATATTCTTTAAAAGAAAGTCTAAAGTAGGGGTTTGCGGCGAGACCAAAGCGCACCCCAGTCTGTGTTATTTCCAGCAACGTGTCACTGCGAAAAAAAACCTCTGTCCTGCTTTCCGCGAGGATTTCGAGAATGTCTGGTTTGGAGATTCTGTTGACTCTGTTCCCTGCTCGTAAAATTGCGGGACATCCTACTGGACTGTGGTGTATTCACTAGTATTAGAGCGGGATTATTTCTTTATTGATGCGTCCAGTGTTGTGGGAATTTTTCTCAAGACTTTTTCAATTTGTTTCCGATTTTGTTTTGTGCGCAAGAAGTCTTTTTTGTTTGCGTGCTTAAGTTTTGAGAGTGTCCGTATTTCTGTCCTTGTGGGTTTACTGCAAGCATCTACGTACAAATGTTTAATAAAGTTAAAGTCTTTCTTATCCGAAATATGGACAACACTACCCAACGAGAAATGTACACAATAATATAGTTCCTCAAAGGAAAAGTGTAATCATTATTCACATCGTTTATCAAAATGCACTGATTAGTGACCATATTCTAGCTTATCGGTGAGTTCACCATCTCCCCCAGATTTTATCTTACTGATCATTTCTAATCACCTTAATTACCTTGGTTCATTCGTGTTTTATTAGACTGACTTCACCCTTACTGATTTTGCGTGCGTTTTCTGTTACAGTTTCTTGAAAGAATGACAGAAGCGGCCAGGAATGGATAGCCTTCGTGAAATTCGTAAGTGCAATTCTGATTATCAAAAAATTCTCCTATAATCTCAAAACTGAATGACGCACTTACAAGTGTCGTATATCTAGATTCCCTCACCACACTTGTTCCGTTAAGTCAATTTAACAAATACACCATTCTGTGTTCCACCATTGCATTCTATGTGATTTCACGCAACAACTCTAAAAAGTATTTGTCAAGTTAATTGATTACTTGAATACTTGCATCATAAAGCTTCTTGAAACTCTTCTTAGCGGATATTTATATATAAAAAAAACGCTGTCCTGTAGAACTTCTTCACTACCTGAGAGGTATATTGGGCTTTCTTTAACCTAGCTTAGCTTCAAGAAAAGGTGCTGTAGAGAAAGTTAAGACAGGAGTCCAACCTATTTCAGAGAAGGAGCCCAAAGCTTAGGAGCATAACGTGACACTATGGTGGCAATATAGCTGCCCGGGCCAGGTTGCTGTAGCCGTCGGTCGTTTTCTCGCATTTAGGCGTCAAAGGGGCACTTTAACGGCCTTGTGTGTTTTGCCTCAAAACTATTTTACGCAGCATAGGTTTGTGCTGTTTCCATATTGCAGAACACCATTTGTTTATGGAATTATATAAGATTATTATACTTGATAAAAAGCAGAGAGAGGAACGTTAAGATATTGGGAACAGTTTCTTTTTTTGGGGAAAAAAATAAACAATAGGACTCCACCTGCTGAAGCTTGGGGGAGAGGGTTCGTTGCCCTTCCCGTTGCGCGCTCTGGCAAAGGTCTTTGTATTCCATTGTGAAGCAATTTTTCTTTGCTTTCTTGCATTTTTTTTTTGTAAGAGTTTGTATCAGTTTTATCCAGCTCACAACTTGCATCTGAGGATATTTTCCTGGGACTGACATGCCGGTTATCAGGGCCATAAATTCGAGCAGGTTAGAAAAAGTGAGTTTAGTCGCACGTAAACCAACTCGAATCCTTCGAATAAGGTTTGCATACCGATGTTATGTCATTTTGACCATGGTAGTATGTTTGTCCTGAGTTTACTTGCCACTAACTGCTTATCGAAATGCAAGTGGTAAAACCATATACGAAGGGAGTCTCATAGCAAGGTGGGGATGTGGGCCAATTCATCATGTACCATTTAAAGCGTTTACATAAACCAAGGGTCAAAAGGAGACCTTTTACAGAGCCCTTATACATCTTGAGCATTCTCCGTCTCTCCCTGAAGTGGCCAGGGGTTCAATTCAACAATCGATAAAACGAAAAAGCCAAACTAGAATCAAATATGTCAAGAAAATGAGAACAACAAAAAAGTAGAAAGATAGCTGTCGTTTCTTCTTTTCTCTCGGTACCTTCTTTATAATAGAAGTTTAATTTTCAATTGCCTACTTCAAGTTATCAAGGTCACACGTTTTTGTTGTATTTTCTGTTCTAAAATATATACTGAGAAGTGACGCGGTGAAAAAACAAAACTGTAAATTTATACTTATATCATCAAAAGGCGTTGCGCACACGTGAATTGCTTTAATGATAAAAAGCCAAAAAAAAAAGTCATGTTTTTACGTAATGCGTGTTTTTTGTATCTGTACACGTAAAATAGCGCCTTGCTCATTCAGTGAAGAAAACAATTACTCGCTCATCGTCGTTTATAAAAAAAATAAATAAATAAACAGCAGTTTCAAAAAAGCGTCGGGGCGACTCGTGAGAAATGTTCGCTCTAGATGCTCCAGTTTTCAAGCTTCGCCGGAAATCACGCACAATTAAAAAACAAAAACACACGTATTTTTGAAACGGTATATCTAAACAAACCGCAAGCACATTCTGAAAAAAGAAAAAAAGGAGTTGAACTCTGAATCAACTGCGCGCACAAAACTTATATTCCGTTTCTCTCTCTCTCTCTCTTTCTTTATTGTTGTTTTTCCGCGATGAAACAAAACCTCGAGATCCATCCCGATCTAGAGTCGCTACGCTCGAGATGGACGACCCTCTTTTTGTTCAGACATTTCCTCGTTTCGTTGTTATATGCGCTTTTTTATAGCCGTGTTTCCGCACCAAGTGGCGCCATGGATCGCTAGACCCTGCTTGGAATCCGCTGCTCCAGGGAGTCTCTCAAGAACATTCTGCGCATGCGTGCGCGCAATGGACATGCGCTTCTTCGCGTGACGCTGCTGAGCATGAACGAGAGTGGCGAGAAATTGACGTCAAGCTGTATGCACACGGTTACCGAGCGGGCCGTTGTTCTTAAGCGCAAAAAAAAAAAATAAAAAAAAAATAAAAAAGAGGTTGTTCCCTGGAAAGTATAGTTGCAACACAAATATATGGTACAATACTGGAGCGCACGGGCGAACGTTCACTTTCTACGGCGAATGCAGGCTATAGACAATAGATTTTTTTTTTTTGTTTTTTTTGTTTTGGTTGCATTATTTTCCGCTCCTTCGAAACCGATAATCGCAGCTGCGTTCTAGGGTTGGAGCTAGAAAAGGGTCGGTTGACCCGCCGAAATTGAAGTGCAGCCTCGCGAAGAAACTAAGGTTTGCGCGGCATTAGTGAAATTGGTTCGTTATGCCCAGGTGAATATAGCGGAGCTAGTCCCACCTTGCGTTTACTTGGTCGTGGCGCCAGTGCATAGCTACCCGTGTAGCACGCATTACGACAATCATATTGAAGGAATGGTCACTATTTGAATGGGAAAGTGTCTCTGTCTGACTGTTTGTGATTTAAGTAATGTGCCATTGGGGTGAAAAGAGTAGATCTTGTCGATCGCTTTCCCCTGTGTTCCTCGCACTGCGACTTCTGTCCGTATTATCTAGTAGTTTCAGCTTTGAAACGAATTTAAGGATACAAAGGAAAATATAGATTTAGTTGAGGAGAATACAACGTGCTGACCGACAAAAAATCTTCGAGGCAAGAAAAAAAAAAAAAAAATTCTTATGTACGAAACATATAGTAGAATGCACATGCGTATCGTATCCAGGCTCTCAAACAATCCTTTCTTAAGAAAGAGGGGATTCAAGTGCCCCCCCCGCCCCCCCCCCCCCCCCGGTCCTGGTTAGCCACCTTAAATGGCTGCATAAGGTTTTTTTTTTTTTTAGTTTATTTACAAAAATGTATAAACAAATATTCAGAACTGGGCCTGCCAACCCACTTCTCCTGTTTCTAGGAAAACATACCTGAAATATGTTTTCTGTAGCTAAATAATTTAATTAGATAATTAACAATTAAATAACTTTCTGGGTTTCCTATGTTTCTCTGCACATAATATTTTTTGGAGAGTGATGATTTCACTTCGCGTTCTCACTTTGTATTAAAAAATAACAAGATAGCTTTTTATTATTATTTCAGTTATTTAATAAAATATGCCGTGAAACAAGTTAAGTGTTCTTGAAACATATTTTCCAACAAAACTTTAAAAAGCGTTCCTTTACTTCTATATAACACTGATTATGCAATGTAAAATTAACGCCCTCCTGGTATTGTATTGGAGGCGGAAAATAAGAAACCCGTTTAAATATTTACTCGTTACTTATCTAATTAAATAATCTACCTATGATTAGAATACTTTTACACAGGATCCCAAAAGGATACAGAGAATGCATTAGCAAAGATACTTTTAAGTTCTATTTTTACAGTTTTGTTTACAAACTAAAAAGTATTTTTAGGTGTTCAAATGATCACCAGGGACCATTATATTTAACACTACGTGATTTATTCGATCTCACTGATGATCACAATGTCCATTTAAAGGAGTACGGAAACGAAAGTTTCGACCTTCTGTGCGTGTTGTGCGGCAGCCAAGAAGCACTAGTCTAGACTAGTGTTTCTGGGCCGTCAGCAGGAAAGTGAAGAAAACTAAATTTAAGACGAACTAAGAAATCTCAAGATTGCGCCTGGTGGCGGTCTGTGAAGCTCTGTTGGAATGCCGCCACGTCACGGGCCCGTAAGAAGCAGCGCGGGTTCGCGGCAGTATGGCTCGCTCGTGGAGTTATTCCTGATTGGGACTAGGCGGAGAACGCTGCAGAGTTAACTACGCTGCATACGTCAAGCTTCCAGAGTGCTTCAGCAACGTGCATTCACGCTATCAAGATCGCCGTTTTTTGCAGATGATAGTCTAGAGCTTGATCTGAGATTGCGGGGATCTCTGACAGGCCAATCATAACCCCTTCTCCCCACTCTCCACCTCGGACGCGCTGTTAATAACGCGCTCAGATATGGACCCTAGGTAATATTTTTTTATACATAGCTTGCAAGTGTTGCTATTGCTCGGTACTGACCATTCTTTCTGAAGTAAACTTTGAAGAAAGGAGCCATGGACAGCGTGTCTGGTTTGCCAACAAACTGAACGTTTATTCGACGGTGCCAATAGCTTTCATCGGCTCGGACGATCTTGGTTGATCGGTCGTGGAAAGTTTATAAAGAAAACAAAACTGCTTTGTCAGCCGCAGGAGCCGCAGTGCAGTCGCAGCGTGTGCAGCGTTCACTCGTTCTCTAACACTACTCTACCCTTGGAGAAGGGGACGTGATTGGGACAGGTTACTTCGCGTTGACCGTCGTGGAATTCGGGGCACTAGAGCCGGGACGTCGGATGTTGGTATGGCCTTGGGTGGAGCAGCCTCAGAAGCGGGTGCTGGGGCGGCATCCTGCGTTGCCCATGGAGGTGCTGCGAAAATAACTTGTTAGGACTTGTTTTAGGTAGTAAAAACTTGAGCGACTTAAACTGCCACACATATAGAAGCGTGGGTGCTCTGGCGCGGAACACGATAACGAGAGGCGTTGAAGCACAGGCCAAAGCTAGGACGATAAGGGCGTGAACTAAGAAACGCCGTATCACGCGTCCCAAAGAAACATAAAGGGGAAGGAAGAACAAAAACGTAGGAAGACCAGATGTCCTAACGTCACCACTTAGAGATACGATACGCGTACCCCAGCGGTGGTGGCATGAATTCGGAACATTCGATTGTCTTGCGGCGTAGAATGTAGCCGATTTCGGACGTCCCGAAGGTGCTTTTTCCGTTCTTCTACACTACACA